TCCCCGGCTTTGGAAAAGAGATGACAAATGTTCCCTCTGGCAATCGATCAGGATATCTTGAATCTGAATTGCACAGCTCCCCAACAACAGTGCTTTGGACGTGAGACAGCTTGCGGTAGGGGAAGGAATTTGTCATTAAAATGTTAATTTAGTCGCATTCAAGGTAGCACTGACTTCTCCAGTCGAGTGTCTCAACAGCACAGAGTATTTCCTCCACTTTTGAACTGGACAAAACTTGTGATAAACCTTCAAACATAATAAGTTTCCCCTTTACTCTGTTATTTTGACTGAACCACGTCCGAGTGTGTGGGGCCAAAAGTGACGAGAAAATCTATTCTTAGTAACCGTATTATGTGATATTGCTGTTATTTTGATTGATTAGTGAATGACACCTGTTTTAAGTAGAAATAAAGGTTTTACATTGCTAAAAGCTACAGTTTGGGAAAGAATGGGGAAAGTTTGGGGATGACATCATGGGAAGGAGATCCACATTTCATTGTAATGTTTGGCATAATTACGACAACACATTTTTTTACACATTTAGTGTACTACACTAAATATTTAGTGTACTACACTAAATCAAAGTATATTCTTGTGATGCTGTTATTGTAGTTCTGTTGGCACCGGTTTATTACTGTTGCTCGATAGCATCCTTTCTGTGATAAAATAATTTTCAACCAAGAAGTAGAATTATTTCTATAGAAATGGGAAAAAATGGAAGCAAAATCATAAATGGAATGAGTGCAACACGGTGGCTGAGTGGATAGCACTCGAACTTCTCCGCAAGAATGTCCCGGCTTTGAATCCCGGGCGGAACGGGGCCTTTCTGAGTGGAGTTTGCGTGTTCTCCCCGTGTCTGCATGGGTTTCCTCAGAGTGCTCCAGTTTTCCCCTACAATATGTCTGGCATGCACTTCCTGTACGGCGACCTCGCTCTCATCTCTGTGTGAGGTGCGAGATAAATGCCCACAACAATTGTAAATGCACTTTGTGAGTCTGAGAAAGGCGCTATATCAAATAAAAGATTACTTACTCACTTACTTACTGCTGAAAAGAGGAGTCTTACCTGTTATAAGCGGTCAAAATTCCAAAAACTATAGACCCACTTCGCTGCACCGTTCACGACTTTTTAGTGTGAAAAAGCATTGCTAGATTACATTTCTCGCACAAACTTAACATTGTCAGCTTTCCACTTTCCTTCACTGAGCCTAGAGGACCTCTCACATCTGGAGCTCCTCTCTTAGTGCATAAGCAATGTTTTGACAAGTAGGAGAGGACAAGTGGAAAAGAACGAATGCGTAGTTTCCTTTGCCATTCCTTCTGGTCAAATCCTTTCACATCTGTTCGACTCTTTCTGAGCGTGATGAGAAATGAAACAAGTCTGACCTCTAGATATGAGGTGAACTTTGGTTAATTCCCCTTGTCACAATTGCTCTCTCCTTACAAGTAATGTGTATATAATTTGTAAGTGTTGCGTTGGAGGCAGATTTACATAGAGTCCAAACATCCGCTTCTGTTTCTTACTTTTTTAGCTCCTTATCAGCGTCAGGGTCAGCAGATGTCCAGCTTCCCAGCAGTGCGGTCTTCTCAAGAAATCTTCATAAATCTATATAAGGAAAATTCAATAGAAAGAGAGTTAGAAATAACAGACTGTGAATGTGTGCTGATGAAAGCGCATTATAATTGATTCAACAAGGGAGACAGTCCACCGCCATTGGTCTTAGTCTGGGCATGAACTATAATTATATATTATTATACCTTTTTGAGTTCCTCCAGCATTCAGGGCTCATTGTGGTCTTTTGTGATATCAAGGTAGAACTTTTTTTTTGCTAAAATATCTGCATAAGCCAGCTTTAAAGATAGGAAGACCAAAGAGCAAAGAGGGCCAAGCTTGCTTTTCTTCGTCAAGGCCATATAATCTAGTTTCCCTGTGTGGCTAACAGCATGTGAAAAACCCACCGCAACAATTCCCTCCTACAATCATATGCATTACCAGTGTTCACTCCGGCCTGTAAACGTGATCTTGAGAATACTCTATTTGGCATTATCAGTAGTATAATGTAACGATTATTATCTATTGGTAGAAGTGAAACCTTTTATTCTGCTACATTTGGATCCAAAATAACACGGCGCTGTATAATTAAAAGAACACAGTTGTGAAGAACATTGTTTCACTGGAAAAATTCTCTAAACAAATTCATTCAAATTTAGATTTTGTTTGTGCCGATTTGTGCCCTAAATCAAAAATCTCTGATTTTGTGGAGTGTATGGAGCTACATAACTTTCTTTCATAACGGTCTGTTTTAGTGAGAGGAAATGAAGGGACAATTTTGTGGTTAAAAGCTCAAATAGAAAAGTGCAGAGTATGTTTTGTCACACTATTGTTTTAGAAATATTTTTGCATGTTCATTATACCAAATGACAATATTGTTATTCAGTTACAACATCTGTAATGTACCCTGCTATTTCATTCAGCAACTGTATCTTGCCCGATAAACATGTTTATTTCAAAGCTATACATTACAGCAGCTAGCATTACAGTATGTCGATATGCTTATTCAGTGCACTTACAGTAAGAGGCACATTCAATACATAATTATAACAACAGCTCTGTTTAGGACTGGACAACACATATTGAGGGATATTCTTAGAACAGCGACACAGTCTTAAATCATGCAGACAAATGTATTAAACATGAGCTAATGGTCATGGTGCTGTTTGATTGATACAACATCACTTTAATAGCAGCTTCATAAAGGATTCATGAATGCCTGACGCAGGTTATAAACAACTACGGCAAGGAGCATTAGAAACATTAAATAAACACTTCCATTAACTACTTACAAAACACATTACATTACAGTACATTAGCACCGCTCAATACTTTTAGCTCCCCTGACCTTTGAAATAATGACATATCAATGGAAGATTCATAAACCAAAACTTTAGTATTGTACATGACATTTTCAGCATGCCATTAGTGACCCTTTCAAGTTAATTAGAAATAAATTAAATTTGTGTGTCAAGTGACTTTGTGGCGCACCGACAACACAATCTTGAGGCCTCTGAATTATTGTCACACAAGCATCCATTTGTCACATACTATCAGACAGCTTGAAGGTAAAATGAAGACACCAGATCTCAAACACTAGTTTTATTCAAGAAGTGTTATTATATAAAGAATTAATTTATTCGGGTCTCTTTGATTGTTGACTATTGTGGTATATTGTTGCAATCTGTCTCAAAAATCCATAAAAAGCAATAACTGAGATATTATTAAGTTGATTAATTATATGCCAATCTAAGATATGATCATTGATTAAAGTAATATTTCAACGTTGTCTCAACCATAGACCTCCATGATCCTATTGATAATAATAATAATGATGCATCGGTTTTATTTAGCTATTTTTTGGACACTCAAAGACGCTTCACATGTCAATATTCATTCACTCCATACACGAAGCTGATAGACTACTGCAGCCACAGCTGCCCTGGGGCACACTGGCAGAAGCAAGGCAACCAGTATGTGCCATCGGCCCCTCCGACCACCACCAGCCATTACACCAGACCCATTCTAAATAATGTGGGTGAAGTGTCTAGCCTAAGGACACAACGACAGTTTGGCACTTTACAGCCGCGGCCGCTCCACCTGGTGTTCCTATAGAGGTCTCCCATAACAGTACTAACCAGGCCCTGCCCTGCACAGCTTGTCATCAGACTATTACTGTCATTGTGTATAGGCTATACAAATTACAAGACCGTATTATACGCTCCTTGACAGTGTAGTCAGCTCACTGTCACGTGTCTTGTCAAATAAACTCAATGTGCCGTATCTGAACTGTCAGATTCACATGCGCTGATCTATGAGCTTCATCCATCTTCATCTGATCAATTCTTAGATGCCCCAGTTGTGTCACAGTTCAAGCTTTAACGCCTGTGACTGCGCTATTTATACACGGAAAATAAAACAGGAATAAAATGTACACCGAGCCTACGTCTAGCTACATCAGGCCAAGACGATTTTGTATCATCGTTAAACTATTTATACACTAATAGGCTATACTGTTTGTTTGTGCTCAAAGGACTCCTGCGCACGGGATAGTTCAGAAAGAAGCATCCGCTGCCGACAAATCAGTGACGAGAACGCGCGTCCAACCACAGAGTCGAGTCAAGTTGAGCTGCGGGAGGAGAGAGAGAGATGAAGAGAGGGAGGGAGAAAGAGAGGGAGAGAGGGGGACGCGCGGGAGCCTGGTTCCAACTCCAAACGCGAGGATGAGCCGATAATGGCACCAAACATCTGCAATTACAGCGCGCTCCCTCTCCTGGCGATGCTTCCTGACCAAAGCAAGAGAAAGAGCAGTGCGTGTGGATATTTGTCCATTTCTCAAACCTGAGTGATGATCTGATGTGCTGGAGGGGATGCTTATTACACCACATTTCACCTTTGGACTAAAATGATCACATCTCCATGAAGAGATCACTGAGGAGATGTGCGGAGCGCGGGGAAGCCACACATCTACGAACCGTGACAGATTGAGTACTTTTATGTAAATGTGTTGGGATTTTCAGGAGAACTGAGAGACACTTTGGCAGCAATAATATTCACACAGAAAAAGAAAGCGGAGGAGCGCCGGGATATGCCAGATTCGAGTGTTTCGCCCACAAGTGGATGATAAAAAGCAATAAGTATAGAGCGACTGGTCGTGCGCAATGGCCAGCGAGGTAACAAACTTCAGGGGAAGCAGGGCTGGTGCATCCAGGACTACAGACACTATTGAGCGTGATGATTAAACAACGAGGAGCTGTGTGGATGACATGACGGACAAACACTGTGACATATTTTGATGCTCTTCAAAACTCAAAAAAGGGATTCGGTCACTTTGGTTTATCCGCTCAGAAATCAAAGAGACATGAGACGCTGTACTTTGAACATATAGCCATACACTAGTTGTGAAAAGTTGGGTGAAAGATACAAGATTGTCGGTTTTCTATTGCACTATGATGGAACCACAACCATGCTCGAAAAAGACCCTTTCCCTGGCGCTCACGGTTCCCAGGGAAGGACAGGCGACTCTCAAGCCTCCGCAGCATCTGTGGAGGCAGCCGCGCACTCCAATTAAAATCAAACACCGCGGCTACTCCGACACGGACCGGCACCGGCACATGGAGCGCTCCGACGCCGTGGACACGAGCGACAGACCCGGGCTTAAGAAGTCCCGCATGTCCTGGCCATCCTCTTTCCACGGCACCACGAACACGTCCATTGGAAATTGTATTGGGCACAAACGGTAAGAACGGCCCCATTATATCCTGCACACCCCGCAATCAGTGTGCGTAAAATAGAAAAGCGAATATAAATTAATGCGTAAAACTGTCCCTAAAGGGTTAACCGCTTTTATACGGGGAGGTGGGACGCGTGGGTTTTTGGGTTGCCTCATGCGTTATGCGTCTTTGGATAGACTATGTCAGAAGAAGCGCACACCATTCCACCCACTCATGCAAGTCCGTAAACCGCAAATTCCTCTGAAAAAAATGTCCTTTCTATTGCAATAGGCCTATACGATAAGAGAGCTGTTCTAATGGCCAAAGGTCTGTTGTGTGCGCTGATGCGTGCACTTGACTCGATACCTTTTATGTGCATGTTTGGAGAGGGACATCTGTGCCATTGGAACATGAGCCTCCATATTTGAAATTGAAGGTGGACTCTATGTATGCCTTTTAAGTCCTCCAAGCCCTTATCTGAATTTGATCTGTAAACTGTAAAATTACTTTTTAGATTGGAAAGCAAGGGATGCACAGCCCTAAACTGCAAGAACTGCTCTAATCTCCATGCAGAGGAAACACATAACAAACAAAACATTAAATCAGCAGATGATTTACAGTATATACATTTTTTTCAAGGCTTTATCCCGATTATATAATTTCACTCAAAAGCCACTTGCATTGACTTAAGTTCCAAGCGTGGAATTTATTCTCATTGCTTCATTTGGGTAGTGTCATAAGACCAAGCAGGACAGCCATCTTATTACATTTGCTAAGAACAAATTAGACACACATGTGAAGAAAGAACTACTGAGGCTTTTAAAATGTATTTTAAAAGCAAAATATGAGTAAAGATCATTATGATTATGCATATTTTTTTCAAATACAGAACTCAAATGAAATAAACCGTCTCATGGAACTTTACTGTTTTGATAAGATTACTTTGTCCTTGTCATTTATTTAAGAAAAGTGCAGCACATTCACTTTGAACAATGGAGGAGGGTTATCGTTTACAAAGCAGTAAAATAATAGGACTTTCAAAATGCAACTCTTTTATTCTCTTTAGCCTTTGCATGACCCGGTATCCTCAGGTGCTTCTTATGAAGGCTTAGAGTACAACTTTGTGGCTCTCATTCTCACATAATCCCGAGCACTAATTCACTTGACTGAGGCGAAAGCAAAGACAGAGGAATAAAAGCTGGTCCCCCTCTCCTCCCTTTGGTTAATCCCACAGAGCGCCATTACCCATCTTAAAGAATGAAAACTATAACCACAGGAAGAAAGAAATGACTGCCACCAAGGCACAAGTCTTCAAGTCGCAATTTTAGAAAATGGGTGAAGATGGATTCAAGATTACATTAAATGCTGGTTTTGAATTGATATGATCGTCGACATAGGGCGGTTTTTGTTTGGTGGTTGTGTTTCTCTGTTCTTTTTCTGCTTCTACATCTTGTCCTTTTGCCAACAATAAAAAGGATGAGAGACTATGCAAATAGACAAATCAACTGTTATAATGAACAACTATCGCACATGGAAGCGTGCTTGGCTCTATAGACGGAGATGCTGCGGAGACGCTGCAAAGCAATTAGCAAAAACGACCAGGCTCCTGTACAGCGTTTAGACGGGGCCAGTAGTAGAACTTTACAACATGACACACGCAACCCCCAGCCCCCCCAGCAGTATAATCACTTGCCGTGACAGAATGCACCAACATCATTCTCCATTTAACAGTAGCTGCAAAAATGGAGAAGTGGTGAGGTCATAGCAGGCAGATAATTCACACTTTTATCTTAATGTGGAAGTGAAACAGCCCCCCCGCCGTTCAGCGTATCTGTTCTGTTCCACTCTTGCGTTTTCACCCCCCTGGACAACTGTCTTTGTGTAAACGAAAGGCCAAACCTAGCCTGGCCTCAGCCACCCGTAAACTCTGGCCAATTATTATTTCCCCACATGTATGTCCTGGTCTGCTCCCTGTGGCAGCAGTTACCTCGGTTGTATCCCATCCGACCAATCAGTGAGCGGGGGAGGCGAGTGTTGTAGGTAGATGCCAGTGACGTCAAGAGTTTGTGCCGAATTTGCTGTTTGTAGTTTGGCAATGGCGGCAAATGCAATAGTAAAGTAATCCGTTCTGGTTTGGCTCCAAATGTCAAGAAATTTATGCCGGAGCAAGAGGAAATGTTTAGCAAATGCCAATGCTGGCAAATACATTGTGGCTACTCCCAAGGGCTCCGTTAGTGGCAAAGGAGATGGCTAAAGCTAGGCTAAATGCTAGCGACTCACTCGGGCGCATTATATACACGTCACGTCAAAGTCAGATCCAATCGTCTAAATCTGCAAAAGGGGTTAACCCCTCCCAGCTGTTAACAGAGCTTAATGGAGCAAATCCAGACCGTAGTACGAAATGAAATTTGTACAATGGTGTGAGAAGACCAGGCTAGGCCAAACTCAACTCTACCATTTTACTGTTGCAGCGTCTTCGTCTAAACAGGGCCTGAGAGCTGGCTGTATATGAAGGCGACACAAAAAGAAAAATGTGCACTTTTTGACAGCGCTGTCACGGTGGCAAAGGGAAATTTGCCATAAAAATAATGGCTTTAATCAAATGTAAAACAAAACAAAATCCAGAGTAAATGGGGACTGACGACAGGAACTAAAACAGACAAGGAATGACAATGTGCAGGAAGTGAAGGAACACACGGGGCTTAAATACAAGACTAACGAGACACAGGTGATGCACATGAGGGCGGGGCAGGTAATCAGGAAACAGGAAGTACAAAAAAGAAGACACAGGGGTTAACAATTACAAAATAAAACGGGAAATAAACCTAAACCATGACAAGCGCAGCAGCAGACAAAAAAGCATGCTGTAAACTTTCATTGTTCTTATTTAAGATTGAATAGTCCGGGATATGATTCGGTGCCGTCAGCGTGTAAAATCCTACGGCAAACATAACAAAATAGTCAGGAGGGATGCTGACACCGAGTTATGTCTTGTTTCCTAGTCAACAGCCTACTTGATGCAGACAGGCTCACTTGAGCGTGACCTTATCTCCACACAGTCCTCCAGTCATCTTTTTGAACGGTCAATTTTTTCCACCTTTTCCTCCACGTTAACACAAGCGATTAATTAAGTAATAGTACACCATATGAGCATTTGGTCTCTAGTTGACTTAAGGATATTCAGCTTGGCCCTTTTTCTGCAGCCATCATATGTTTTCTTAGTTATATTATTATTTTCCCCCCACAATGCCACAGCCTGCCTTCCACACAAGCCCTTGGGAATGGTTCCAAGAAGTGCAGAGAACTGGAAGATTGAAGATGTTGCTTTATTTGCCACATGCTCGCTGTGTGGACACTCCAATGTTTTTGTGCACTTGGACTGACTTTGCCTGGCCTTTTCCTTTCTGTGGGCGGAAACCATAATCGTACACGGGGAGAATTAGGCAGGGAGAGAGAAAGAGTGAGTGGATATATAGATAATTTGATTCTGTCCAGCTCTGTTGATACATAAAGTTAGCATCAGCTTGGCTTGTGAATGTTGCACGCTGCTAAAAATGGAAGCCTGTAGTTGGCAATGTTGCTTGTGTTGAGTGAGTGGGTTACAGTCTGACCTATAGTCCGTACAGACAGCTTTAGCCTTGTATTTTATTATCATTTTTTTCATGTGGGAGGCTGGAGGGATTGCCATTGTGTGGATATGCGCTTAGATTTGACCCTGACATTGCTTGCTCACAACTGTTATCGGCATCATCTTTACAAGCTTTATGAACAGTCACATTTTAGTTTAGTTGTCTTCACGCTCAACTGAGGCTCTCACAGAACCATCCACTACACAATATGGGAGCATATTTTAGACTCAAGCCCTAGGCCACTCTGAGCTCCCGGTAAGGTTTTACACAGCCCAATGAATGTGTCTCGAAAAATACTGGACCTTTTGTATAAGTTCACAGCTGGAGGGTTTATAATAGGCCTCATTACCAGTTGTGCTGTTAGCTCCAAGAACCACAATGAGCTGAAATGTGTGTTCAAAAAGTTCTAAGTAATGCTAATCAATGTCATAAGCATTGCTGTCTCCTGAAAGGACAATTTGGTTGAAGATAAAAACTGTGTGTTGCTTACATTGGTGTTGTTTTCTAAAACTGAGAATAAACTGAGAGAATATTTATTGCATTGTCTACATTGCATAAGAGATACAATTACTTAAACAATCAGATTACCCCCCAACACTATTTAAATAAATTTCAATGCTTAGAACTTCAATAAATAGACAATTTTATTTCTTTTCAACAACCCAATACATACTATTAGATATGGTTATTGGATATGTACGAACACACATAAACCTAGATCTAATGTTTTAGTTTATCTTTAACTTTTAACTTCCAAACCACAACAAATGGAAATATAATAAAATCAATGTCACTAGAACATTTTGGAACCAAACTTTAGATCACATGTTTAGATCAGCTTTTTTTTTGGACAGAAAAGGGAACTAGAGAGGATCACCTTCTCTCAGCCCAAAGCATCAAATAGTGACTCACAGGGCTCTTTCTTTTCACAGGTACGTAAAAGATCATATGTATTCAATAAGATATTTAATGAAACATCTTAGCTTTCTACAAATACTGGATTATTAGTGCCATTACAGAGAATAGATTGTATTGTGGAGCAAAGGGAAACTGAAGTAGCCTTTGTTGTAGAAAGGAGTAATTGGTGTTTGATTGGACTGGTGCTGTTTGACCCGGATTGTGACCCAGTGCTCGCTCAATCACTCAGCAGACGTTCAGGACCTCATCCCAACACATCCATCAGCAGAAGGAGCCGCTACAGGCAAGGTTCTTCCACGCGCAAACGTTTCAAATGCAGTGCAAGTGTCTCTTCAGAACATAATAAGTATTTATGAGTTTCATCTATACTGCGAGCGGAGCTGCTAAACATGGATGAGATGTGAAATGAGCAGGGATGAAAAGTGCGCAGCTACTGAGCTTCACATGGTAGCACATAATAAGTGTGAGGCCAAGAACATATAC